TCCTCTGGCTCTCAGTGTGCTTTTCTTTCCTTCTAGTTGTAGAATTTACACTCACCCAGCCTTCCTGTGGTTCTGGATGATGTCCGTTTTGTGTTTTTGAAGTATTATTCAATTGTTGTGGGAGGCAGCAATTTCCCGGTGTTTATCTATGCCGCCATCTTAGTTTCGTGATACAAATTTGTTTAAAAAAATAATGTTTGATATTGGTAAGGGATGTGAAGCAAGTGGGGAATTTACTAACAACCAAATGAATCCAGTCATCACAATAGCTAGTGTGGCTCCGTGTGAACCAGCCTGATACTTGGAACAATGATATTGAGTCAGAAAACAATAAATTTAGAAGCTTGTCATGCCATCAAGTGGCCAATGGGGCCACTCTGCAATAACACTAGTTTTATATGAGCTATGAAAATTATTGCAGGCAATATTATCCCTAATGGTAATAATTTGGCAAACTGAAGTTAATACACACAGACGGGAATGTTACTTGCTCATGCAGTTTGGATGATTGAAGACCCAATGTAAAGGTTTTCTGCTGTGATGGCGATTAACCACCCAGCAATTAATGGCAGTCTGAAGTGGAACGATAGTCATATAGAGGGAAAAATAATAAAAATGTCCCAACAAAGATACTAAAATAAGGGCAATAAATGTTTTATAATAATCTGGAATTGTAAAATGATCCAAAGCTAAATGTTGTTCTATGTTGAAGACTATTAATATCAAACCACCACGTGCATGAAAAGGGGACATGATTTATTCAGTGACAATTATATTCCTTCCAAATTGCAGAGCTAGGTGATTACCTCTATTGAAAGTATGAATGCAACTCTGCTGATCCCCTAAAACACTCATGGTTTTATATCACTAACAGGTGGAGACAAGAGTATATAAAGCTGGTCTTGGCAGTTTGGGATATGGTGATATTACTCAAGACCTATCTTAAGTACAGAATCAGAGAAAACACAGTTGATGACTGGTGTAGACACGGTATGGTGACTTTAACCCAAGCATAAAGTGGGATAGTAGACTCCATTGCCTTATGTATGGGCAGACAGACAGATTCACATGTGGACCATCTGCTTATCATTATAAAATATGCTGGACCTGGCCAATGTGGCTCAGTGGTTGAGTGTCGAACTACAAACCAGGAGATTACAGTTCGATTCACGGTCAGGGCACATGCCTGGGGCTGTGGGCTCGATCCCCAGTGTGGAGCACGCGGGAGGCAACCAATCAATGATTCTCTGTCATCACTGATGTTTCTATCGCTCTCCCTCTCCCTTCTTCTCTGAAATCAATAAAATTATATTTTAAAAAATTAAATAATAAAATAAAATATACTGGAATGGATCTATTACTAATCAACAAATCCTGGCTGTGAACAAAACTGGCTGCAAGGAACTAAATTCTCAACTATGATGCTTAAGTGATAAAGACCACAATGTCAGGGCTGGTTGGTGTCTCCACAATTCTCT